TTCTGCAGTGTTTCCTCCTTTAGTTCACTGTGTTGGGAAACCAGGGAACAACAACACATGACCTTTAGTGGCACCGAATAATGATGCCAGCAGAGATTGTACAAACTCAGTTGTGCAGACAGACTGGAATCAAACCTTTTTTTGTTACATTTGAATGTTTTAGAATGTAGTTTTTCTATTTATAAGTATTCACCAGAGTAACTAGCTCCATGCTGAGTGACCCCTTTCCACCATATGTTTCAAACCCCAGTCTTCTCAATTATATGGTGAAGGATCAGCTGTTCTTAAATAATTCATTTGATCTGATTCATTAGATAGTAGTCAACAGATATGAGTACTTTGAATTATCCTTTACAAATACAATCTGAAGCTGCTGCAGTATGATGTAAAAGTGACCTTAACTTTGGCCTGATAGACAAGTGAAAGGATCTAAAAGATTTGATAATCTGCCAAGAAATTTTAATCAAAATAAGACTAAACACATTTCTCCAATTCTGTTCTGTTATCAAGTGTCAGTTTGGTTGTTTTTTTTAAAACACAAACCGGATCCCCTTGCTGTCAGAGCGAATCATCATTAACTGAAAGTGATGGCTGTTATTTATTTGTGCTTGCCGCTGTGTGGTTCACTCACTCACCCGCTATGTGTTCGCTTTCAAATGAGGCGTTTAAGACAGCTGTTACCCAAATAAGGATATGTATGTTTGCAGTTGTACATTAATAATACTTGATCATACTGATACTTATCCTCAAATATCACATCAGGACGTACTGTATATTTGGTCCTGCTTTACAGCAGAAGTCCTCAAATAACTACAGATAGACAACATCAGTGTTTATCTGCATGATACAAACAGACAAACCACATCCTCGAATCACATTGAAATTAAATCTAATCTAATCTAAATAAGACATCTGGAGTATTCTAGTCCCATTATGTGGCATGTAAACATCTTAATCGCATTATAACTTGTGATTGGAGAATCTAACTGCTTCATATTCAGATGTTGCTCTGTAACATGTAAACAGGATGGAATATTCTATTCACAACTCACCGAACATTATAATTGAAATGAAATTCAGAAGGAAGGTAATGGTCAGACTATTGTTGTTCATGCAAACATTTTATCATTGTGCAAGTATAGATTAAAGTACACTGGCAAAATGTAGTTAAGGGAGAAGAACATCATGTTGATGAAACATCTGACAAAGACCGAACACATCTGACAGGCTCTGACATCTGATGTGACAGATATTGTTATATAACAACATAGCTCATCACTGTTGTGGTTTTTGGAAGATGACTGTAAAAATTCCAATAAAATCTCCAAGTTTCTGGAACTCATGAGGGAGAATTTTCTAAAGAAGCTGTTTGACTGCAGGACCATTCTGCTAATAAAAGGAAACGCAACGTCTCAAGTTAGATTCAACATTTCGCAAGTATGATGTTGGATTTGAAATGATCTGACCTCTGCATGTAGGTTTGTGTAAGTGTGTAAGACATGAAGCTTTTAATTTATCTGCTCTCACGGGAGGTGACGAGGAAGGAGATTGGCAGATAGATCATATTAAAGGGGAACTCCACCATCTTATTGTTCTTGGGAAGTTCTGCCCGATGTGTGATTTTTTTTCTTTTCACATACTTTCTACAGGAAGGCTTTTTTGGCTGAACACTGAGTATGAAAAAGACAAAACTCTGGGGGTGTAAAGTTAGAAAAGAAATGAGCAAGACAATCCACACAACTGCCAGCAATCGAGTTGCAGTGGATAATGTACGTACCAGATTTAGACAAAGTGAAACAGAAAGATATCTCTGCTTCTGTTGCACTGATTGACTGAACCTGTCAATCTTGAGTTGTTGAGAAATCCTTTAAAACACTTTCTGACCCACAAGATTGACCTTGTAAGAGACCTGTTAGAAGAGTTGGTTAGATACACAGGTTATATCCATAAAAATAAAAAATTCATACACTCTTGAGACACGAGTGGGTGATTCAAATGTTCACATAAGCTCAAAGCTAGAAAAGAGGCTGAAGATGGCCTCGGGGATTATTCAGGACCAGAAGAGATGAAAGGAAAAAATATGTACTTTACAGAAATTTGTAGTATTTGTATTCTTTAGTATTGCATGGACTTTTTAAGCTAACTCAAAGTGACACATGCTGTGTAAATATTGTATTGTGACAAGTGTTAAAGGGATACTTCCCCGAAATATGAAAATTCGCTCATTGTCTATGCACCACTATACCAATGGAGGGGTGGGTGAAGTGTTTTAGTTCACAAAAGTCAGCTGAAACATGGTGTAAATGACGCTGTTTCAGAGTTTCCGGTGTTTAAGAACGCAAATGTCTGAATCACTTGCATTCGACCTTTTCCTGAACCTCTTTGTAAAATGTCCGTGGAATGTACAAGTGAGAATACAGCAGGAAAATTCACAGGGATTGAGTGGGTGTGTTGATGACCTTTCTAACAAGCGTCTGATGCGAAACTCGAAGAAAGCAAATATGTCAGGATGAAAGGTGCCATACATGCAGAAGACTCTACTAGAGATGCCAGTCTGGACGTGCACTGGACATCTTGGTGTCTGAATTGGCTTAAAACAATCAGATCAAACTGGAAAGGAGCTTTTGGAGGACGAGATGTTGACGTTAGCGTGGCCGTCCTGTGTCAGACTGTTTTTACATTACATTTTCACCTCAATGCCCAGCAGCTTGTTTACAAACACGATGCATGTGATGTATTCGTGTGTTGAATGAGAAATTATTCAGACTGTCAGTGAAATGATATCAAATCGGAGGGGGAGGCTAACTGGGACTGAGACGTTAATCTCATTGGAGAGTTGAAGGTGTGCCTGCCCGGGCTAAGCCAATAATTAACATGAGCATGGGGTGCATTTGGGTCACGGTGCCATCTTAATGGGTAACGCTGAACATGTGCTTGGCATGGCTTGGCTAATTGGGGGAGGGTGTGCTTGCGAGGCACCTCAGTCCATCATCTTGATCGCCATGGGAACTGGCGGATAGGATAATTAGCTGGACGGCATGGCACAGCGCAGCGGCAGCTATAGGCACAGGCAGCAGGATTAGGGATGCACACCATGATGAAACTAATAGAAATTGATTTTTTTTACAAGCTGTGTAAAAGATTTAGTGAATCATTTACAATTAAGTGGCAGCAATATTTACTTCATTCATCTTAGCCTCGCTTCCAGCTCCTGCTCTTCCTCATACTTATTTTCAGTCTCTTCCTTTTTTACATCCAATTTTCTGTTTATCACTAATTTCAAAAGCCAAAAGGGAGGAATAATAAAATCCTTGTCTTTCTTAGAAGTTATCAATTTGTTCTTTATTTCCTTGCATGTCTCCTTATCCTCTGGCTCCGACGTCTCCTCTGTATTCTCGCTTTTCACTTCAAATGCTTCCTGTGTGTGTTACACGTCTCTCACATACTGACTGTACCAGCTGAACTGAATGGAAAAAAACGTCATCGGGGAGATAGATGTTTTTCATTCTGGTCAATACGCCTGAGACATGGACAGTCAGTCAACATCGCACTGAGATGTGGAACTTTAAGTTTCCTCCACATTCCAGCTATGAATGTTAAACCAGTTTGTTTTAGTCTTTTCTCAACCACTGATGTCCTGATTGTGTCTCGACTGTATGTCCCGTTTTCCGTCTTCCTCCCTATACCAACCGCCCAGCTTTCTGTCTGGGTGGCCAAGGCCAGTAGGACTCCTGCACTCTGTTCTTTCTTTTCAAATCTCCTCTGTTCCCCTCTGTCTCTAGTTTTGTCTTTGCTATGTGTGACCAAACAGGCAGATCTGTTCTTCTTCTAAAAGACTGTTGGATACCACACAATAGGCCTCAGATTCTGAGTCCAGGCTGTGTTCTGTCTGACTTGGAGGCCGAACAAAGAGAGGAAGGAGGAAAAGAAATGAAAGCATCAAGGAGAGTGGTGGAGAAGTGGCTTCAGAGAGTTTTTGCAATGTTTGGCAACATATGTTCTACTTGAGTGCAGGAGGGAAGTGTGTGTACAAGAAGAGTACTGTGGTTTACTGAGGTTGTATATTTAAAAGAAGTATCCCCTTATGTATCAAGCTTTTATCAAAGCAACAATATGCGCAGTGAGTTTTTTGTCAGATGTCACATAATATTTTAATATTTAAGCAGAACTCATTTATGCCAAATTAGATTTTTCCGAAACACAGATATTCATGGCCCCCTGAGGTCCAATCCTTGCAACTTTGGTGATCCACTGAACTTTCCGTAAATGGCATCATAAGCCAGAAAATATTGAATCAACTTGTGGTTGATGTACATTCATGTCCACCCATGAATTCTGATTTTTGTTTCTCTAGCACAAGCATCTGCTCAAAATTTGAATGGTCCAATTCTTTGGTTTCTGATTTAATAATAATATAATAAAAGTAATTTAATTCCCATCAGCCTCAGGTGTACTTCGTGTTTATTGCTGATTAGCACACGTTAGCATGAATATTATAATTGCTGAATAGAATCATGTGAGCATTGTCATTATGAGCTGATGGCCTCCTAACATTAACATTTAGCTCTCTTGTATGATTTAATAAAATTATTTTAATATTTCCTTAAATTGTCATGTATTTCATTTCCTACAGTGGAAAATGCTCTGAAAAATTGCTATATTATCGTAAATTACACAGAGAGGCTTTTTCCTTCTTCTCCATTTCTCTTTCTCCATCTTTTCTTGCCTCCTCCTTTGTATTAAACCTGCTGTCTAACCTAATTTCATTTAGGCATATTCATTTTAGTGTCTTCACTAGACTATAATGTTTCTGTTTAATATCATACGAGACATCTCAAGAACATATCGTTCATATATTATTATTAGTGGTAGTAGTATTTATTTTGGACTATATTATTTGATTGTGTTGTACCTTGTGCACCTGATTAAAGTTTCCCACCAGGGATTACAAATGACTGACCTGAACTGAACTCTCCCCCTCTCCCCTCCCTCTGTGTCAGGTACTACATGTCTGGTGGCCCTGCTGTCTGATAAGGAGCTGACGGTGGCCAACGTTGGAGATTCACGCGGAGTTCTTTGCGATAAAAACGGCAATGCCATTCCTCTATCGCACGACCACAAACCTTACCAGCTCAAAGAGCGCAAGAGGATCAAGAAAGCTGGTGAGTAAGACTTTTCTCAGCTGATTCTGAGCAACAGAACAAGGCTTTAGATAAAACTTAGGGGAATATCACTGCTCAGATTGTTGTCATGGAAGCAAAAAATAAGTTCTTACGATCAGAGCTCAAAATCATTGTCCTTTTTTTCCACACACTGCATCTCTGTGCTCGGTGTGACATCAAAACCTAGTGACTGATAACACAGTCTGTTTCCAGAGCAGTGCACATTATCAAATGCAGCCAGAGAGTGCACAGTATTTAAGGTGTATCTTGAGGCATAACTCTCCCTGCTACCATATCTGCATTCTCTGTGCTGAGGAGAGTAGATGGTAGGTTGCTAGATTACTGTGGTCACCAGCTCATCATCTCCATCTAATGGTCTGATTGGGTACTGAAAATAAAACGAGATTTAGGTTGCATTTTGTTGTTGCCTACTCAACTTTTTATTCAGGTATAATGCAATTTTGCTACTTTTAGTAACTTTCATTAAGTTCTCATGTTCAGGAAACACATGTATACTAATAAAGATTCCGTGTTCAGTGACCTTCTCTCACAGGATAACATGATCTTGTTGCTGTGGTGTCTCTGTGACACATTCATGTAAACACAAAGACACATTATACCAGGTTCCCCAGGTAGAGCTGTTGATCTGATTAGATTTAGAACAACTTGTTGCACATATTTGCATTTTGACAAGGGAAATCAGATTTTCTCGAAAACGTTGTTGATCCTAAAAGACTCAGCGTTGTCTGTAAAACTCCCCGTAGACAAGTTTGTAGATAAAAATAAATTATTCAGAATAATAAACAGATTCTATTCACACAATCTCAGCAGTATCATTATTAACAATGCAATGTTTCTGTCATAGACATTCAACATGAAACAACGTCTTGATACAGGAGCTGCAGGCTGCAACAACAAATAAAAGAGTCAAATGACAAACACTAAAGACAATTTTCCCATCAATGTCTAAAAATCCCTTAATAGGGAAAAAATTAGACCAGCAGTGTATCTAAAGATTCACAGGATACACTGGAGCCATTTTTAGGGAGATTTTGATATGTATTTATAATGTAATGATCACTTCAAATAGATTCTGATAGATTTATAGTAATTTATTATATTTAAGAAATTATTGTTTTATTATTATGATTTTTAACCTTATGAAGATTATTTCCAGTTTATTTTATTTTTAATAAATCATATTCTGCATTGCCTGGTCAGTATTTTCTACACTGAAAAAAGTAAATTGGTGGATGAACTTCAATAAATTACTTTAATCGGTAACACAATTGCAAATCTTTTTTTAATCATTTGTTTTGTTTTGTTTATGTTGGTAAACAGTTATTTTCAATGCATTTACTTTTACTTTTCTATTACGTTTCATTTTCAATCAACTAAACTAAAAACAAAATACTGAAAGAAACTTCAAAAATCAATTTTCAAATGTTCAAATAAATACACCGGTACGCCCACCAGTAATCATACCATCGCACTGAATGAAAAATATTGACTGTTTTCAAAACATGATGAAGTGGTTGATTTTTTTTTCATTCAATTTAATTTGTGGCACAAACAAAGAATTAACTTTTTTACTACAATTTTATTTTTATTTTAACCATTTTTGGCTAGTTGGTATTATCGCCGTATAAATATTTCTATAGTATATGAAGCAATAATTCAGAAATAACGAAAGATAATGACTACGATAATTTTATTTAATGCCATATTAGCTTAGCTACCACCTTCAGCAGCTAACAGCTCAGATTAATACCTCATTGTGTTTAAAAGACATAAAGAGAAAGAGAGGAGACATAAGGAATGTTTGAGGTCTTCTCTATCACTAACTGCAGTTTATATAAAACATTTTCCAACAGTTATGTCAAAGCAGCGAGTTATAGAATCAGAGGCTGCTAAAGAAGCTGACAGCACAGGGGTTGTGTCCTCTGCTTTTTCTGGGAATTTGGGGATTTTAGTTAGTTAAGCATAGATTATAATAGAAGGTTACACATAATGGGATTTGGGGGGTGGGGGCTGACAGCGATAGTTTATAGCCTGCAGTGGCCTGAACTCTCCACCTCAGTATTTTTAAAACCCTGGCTATGACCTCGCTCAGCAGGATCTGGGGAGGCAGCCTGACCTAGTATGGAAGTCTTCATCTCCTTCAGTCATTTCCAGGACTATAGTCCCTGCTCACAAATCTGCCAGAGCCACTGAGGACATGCAGCTGCACTCGCAGGATGTGACATGAATTGAAATGTATCCAACATAAATAATTTGTTCCATGAGTATTAACGGTGAGTGAAAACATGTCAGTGGCAAGGATCCATATTATGATTCTCCCTTTGATGTGAACATGACCGAGATGAAGAAACGTGCCGGCTGGTTCAGATGAAGAAACATAATCTGGTATCTTGGTGTTATAATAGCAGCAACACAAAGCCTCCTTTTTCTCACTTCCTCTCTTCTCCCTCCACTCTGTTTTTCCTTCACTTCCCCCTGCTTGTTTTATCATTTTCAAACTTCCATTTTTTGCTCTGACTTCCTCCTCAGGTGGTTTCATCAGTTTTAACGGTTCATGGCGCGTCCAGGGCATATTGGCCATGTCCCGTTCTCTGGGCGACTACCCCCTGAAGAACCTCAACGTGGTCATTGCCGATCCTGACATCATGTCCTTCGACTTGAACAAGGTGCAGCCGGAGTTCATGATCCTGGCGTCCGACGGCCTGTGGGACACCTTCAGCAACGAGGAGGCGGTCCGCTTCATCAGGGAACGATTGGATGAGCCTCACTTCGGCGCCAAGAGCATCGTCCTCCAGTCCTTCTACCGTGGCTGCCCTGACAACATCACCGTCATGGTGGTAAAGTTTAAAAGCAAGGCCAGTGAGCAGTAGTCCACCCATCTACCACATGCAGTATCTATATCTTGTTTGAATAGGCTTAAGAGGAAAGATTTAAAAACCAGTCTATTGGGGATGGCTGTGTCCAGAATTGGGGGAAAAAGCTAATAAATGGGTCAATTGTTAAGGAAAGGTTTGGTAAGAGTTAGGGTTATTGTGTGTGTGTGTGTGTGTGTGTGTGTGTGTGTGTGTGTGTGTGTGTGTGTGTGTGTGTGTGTGTGTGTGTG